TCAGATATCATCCAGGGTAGGGAGATCACCGCCACCTGATGAAACACACGGTCTTCACTTACGAGACGAATGACCTTAGCGGTTGAGACGCCCGAAAACCCAAAATAATAAATCATTCCAGTGGCAGTGGATGCGCGGGAGCGGGGGGAGGGGCGGATGCTGTGCTCCTGTCGATTAGTGCGCGGCGCCCGCTTCGCGTCTGTCGATGTGACATGCGATTACTTCGCTTTTTTTTTGCCGCCCCCTCGCCGCGCGCGTTGACACGTGTGCCGATCTGCACCTGGGTGGCCGTGTTTAATCGAGCTCTTGACGAGTTGCAGGCGTTCAGACTCCGCATCATCGAACTGTGATTGATACGGCTTTTAATTACACCCCTCTTTCGACACTTTTTTTTCTGATAATTGGTCTCGCAGGTGTGACAACCAGAACGGCGTATTCAGCTTGGTAAAGGTCAGATGTTGTCCTATTCAAGAACTTCGCAAGCAAAAACTTCAATAAACAACCTTTTAAGATGGCTCGTGTAGAGTTTCTTTTATGGATGAAGATTTATCAATAGAGGTCATTTACGAAGTAATCTTATTGATTATTGACTGTACACTAACTATTAACTCTTATAACTATGAATTAAAATGTATTATATTCTTAAAAGGTTAGTAAGATAAGGATCTCTATGAAATATTTTTAAAAATACTCCATTAATTATTATTGTATTCCTTATTCTTGTTATTTCACCTCAAGTTACATTTCGTCTCTCATGGGATTCAACCAGACTCGCAGCTGGTTGTTTCTCGGATTCCCAGGCCCTTTAGCTAACATACTACTCTAGCATCCTCCTAGAATTAATCGGATAAAATCACGAAAATGTTTTGTCAGAGCCGCCTGTCTAAATTTCTTTCACGTGGAGTCGAGTTTTCAAGCGGAGTTTTAGCTAGGGTCAAAAATCCTCTCACCATGGGTACTCGAACCTAGGAATTAGGACCTCCCCGTACCCCTGTAAAATGTAAGTAATTCCATGATTCTAGTGTCTCTCTTCAGTAGCAGTGAAGTCAGAATTTACATTAATAACATGTCTCATTTTGAGGAATAACAATAACAGAAGTGCAATATTCAAACCAGAGTCATTTGGACATCAAATCAATTACTTTAGCACAATGAAAACCGAGCAGATTAAATATAACACAATCGGGAAACCGAATAAAAATCGTTTGGTGTGTGTTCACCTTATTCTTATCGTTTTTAGTTTACTGATTCCAGAAACATTAAAAAGCCGTATCACCTACCGTTTGTTCACATTTTAAATTTTCCTCTGCATAGCTCGCAAAAGCAGCTATGAGCTTCTAGAAACGCATGAGATGCAGAATGTTACAATGAGAAAGTATTAGGACGACAAAGATAGTAGTACACGCTTTAGTAAAATATATCTCACTTTCACATCGATAGGCGTGGCGGTTTCACAGTCAGTTTCTTTTGACAAACAGTACCGTGTTTGTTTTATTCGATGCTCACATGTTTGAATTGTTGCTACCAAGATAAGCTTTTAGTTAAGCAGTTAGTAGTTCGGGTTCAGAAATGGCCAATTATAGTTTAAAGAATAATCCTGACAGTTTTTGATAAATTTGTGACGAGTTTGTGATTAAAAACACAAACGGATCATTATTGACTTTGTTACAAATGTGTATTTTTCGTATTTCGGAATTAAACTTGGCGGATTATGGTTGATGAAAACGAACTGAGTTCAGATGCGGATTCAGCTCCCTAAAAAGTATAAAAATCACTTATAAAGGTTTAAAAAACTTTTTGAAACTTTTTTTGCTGGCCTGTGTAATTTATTACAAAAAATTCAAATGAAAGATAATTTCAAAATATTTCTCAGTTTACTTCAAAGAAGTAGACATTTTTAGTTTCTTCAAAGTCAACTGTTAATAAACTGTATACAATGTATAGTACAGTAGAATCGCAATAATTCGAAGTAATTGGGGCTGACGGTACCTCGAATTACACGGAAAAAAGGAAAATGTATAATGAAATTTTCAACTACAATGTATATACAATGTATAACGAGGTCAAATTTAATATGCAGATATTACTGAGATTACAGATACATACACATGTACAATCAAACACATGTGAGCGCGAACCGATCACAACAATGTAGAATACAGACTGACACTGGTACCAACTGTCGCACACGAGACCTTCGACGAAGTGTCGCCAACCCGTCAAGAAAATTATTGCACTGATATCTTGTGTGTGACTTGGCGCACAACAGATCATTGCGGATTGCACGGAATCTCGGATTAGCCAGGCTCTGATTACCGCGCCTCAACTGTATAATGACTGCAGATGACAATTGGTAAAAGCAATGGACACCCATGCAGCAATTGCGCAAATAGAGCAATTACTAAAAATGCGAATTGTTACTAAACGCTAAAAGAAAGTCATTGTATGTTTGACGGTCGGTGCTATAAATGTTTGAAGGTTTTCAATTTGAGATAAAATGCGAAACTGATCGCAAAATGCAAAATCTTTTACAAAGTGTGAAATGGTCGTGAATATGCGAAATAATTGCTAAATTACATTTTTTAGTTTCTTTCATTTCGCTAACTTATAATGCGACATTACATCAACACATCGATGCTTGAAAACATTTAGTTTGATGGTAGCCGTGTTTATTATTCTTTTAAATCAAGATTTAACTGCCAAACGAATGTATAATAAAACAATTTTTTTAAAAGCTGATCGTGAACGTCTGGGCGCTCAGGGTTATCTCAAGAGGATGTACGTATAAGGTTTTGGGAAGAAGTCTTACGCCTACCATGTGCACTCTACCTTCTTACGAATTAATATTGGTTTACGCTCACAAATGGCTAAATATTAAATTAGTTTCCCTTATTTACTGACTGAAATGGGAACATCTAAAAAGCAGCAAATGAACTTATCTAAAAAGGACTCCTCCCGTAATAATAATTTTCTCAACCAATGCTACAAAATGTTAAATCTTAATGTTTATTATGTTATAAAACTGTATAGCCTTGATTTTAAAATGCGATTAAAAAATAAATTTGCTAAATTATATCATCCCTAATACCATAATAATTCTAGATAGATAGGTGGATATGTAGTTAGATTGGTAGATTTATTAAAGTTTGTTTTGAGCTAATGCTCGGTGGCAAACTTGATAATAATAGGAATTAGAACAATTACAAAACTATTACATTTACAATTATAATTTCAATTGGAATTAGAGGTTGATAACCTAGTTCTAATTAATTTATACTTATTTATTAATTATTTAGTTATTAATTTTTAGTTATTTAGTTGTTTATCTAACACTTCACTACACTACACTACACTAAATTACAATCCCCTCCCCTCCACTACAATACAATTCTTTTCACTGTATATGGATCATGGCAATAATAATAATAATAATAATAATAATAATAATAATTATTATTATTATTATTATTATTATTATTATTATTATTAAGACAAATGGCTCAGTACTATTAGTGATAGTCTCGATGGAATGAACCCTATTTTGAAATTTGACTACATTAGAAGGAAGAGCCTCTAGTGCTTCTAATTCTACCATCCATCCACACCATAAATAACGACGCAAAGATCGCGAGCAACCACGGACTCGACCTCCGCCCTGGTGACCCAAGGCAGCCGCGATCGAAAGCCCGATGCGCGCGCTCGTCGCCTCGTCTGCCGCGGGGGCTGCGTTGCAGGAAGGGCGGAGCGGAAGGGGCAGACGACTTCCTCGCGCCGCGCCGCCTCGTGCCGCGCCGCGTCGCCACACGCGGAGCGCGCGAAAGGAAGCGCGCGTGCATCAATACGGGCGCGGCCTCGCGCGTCAAGAGGCTTTTGAAGAGGTCGAGGGCGGTGCCGGCGGAATACCGCGCTCAGAAACACCTACTTCGCTTTCTTCAGCTCTCCTCCTTTCAGTAGCGCGGCGGGCACGCTGATGTTTCTGCACGGCAAAACCCAACTCGTAGAAGTATACACTAGCAGTAGAAACAGAGCAAGGCGAGGGAAGTCAGTGCTTGAGCGGCAAAGGACCAGAAAAAAAATGTGATAGTCTTTCGTTGCCCTCAATGCATCGACAGACCTTTGCACACCCTGGAACACATCATTTGAAAGAGATTATCTAGGGAGAGGAGGAAATGGAAAAAGTCAATAGAGAGCTTGGAGTGAGATTTGCTGATATGGAGACAATCAATAGATTCTGTTTTTTGGATGTAAATCCAATTCAACGAGTTTTTAAAAATGCTTAAAGAAATTCTATTAAAGGAGGCTCCATATTTTTATGTAATTCGCACGTAAAAATATACATTTTGAAGCTAATTCTCTCTCTCTCTCTCTCTTTATATATATAATTTCCGCTTATGAATCGTCTGCATACAATACCCTAGGAAAGTAGGCTTATAACAACTCCTGGTCATGAAACCCCATGACTTTCCGGGCGAGGAAATTACCCCGATCCCGCATGAAACATATGAAAGACGAAAAAATCGTTAACAGATTATAGCATACGAGAAATGCAGGCGCGCACGCATCACGGAACAACACTGTTATAGTCGTGCAGAACTTGGAAACGAGGTGTTTGACTCCCTTAAATCTGAGTTTTCCTTCACTCTTAGGAACTGAAAATTTTGGAAGAAAATGTAACTTTTGGATTTTTATTATATAGAAATTTTATGAAAATAAGAGTTTTTTCACAGTTGTAAGAATAATGCGCTTTGAGCAAACGAACAAAGAAATGGATTTATATTTGAGAACATTTTTGAAAACGTCCCTCCTGGAACTCACTCGAACAAAGAAACGACGTTCTCCGAAAAGGCGCGAATGAAGCGAACGAAACATTTGAGGCTGTTACGGTGATGGGAGAGGGGGGGGGGGGCTCGAACCTCACTACAATTGTTGTCCGCAAAAATAGAGCCTAGAACGGGAATATGTTTTAATAATACAAAATTTTAATTTAAAAATTTCCACAGCTAAGCGTGAGCAAGTAGCATGTTGGTGCTTGGACGTCATCGAGCGGGTGTCGAATAGAGGTTTTGAAATTTACACCGTGCGACAGATAGACAGTCGTAAGTCTACATTGAATAGGGTTAGCCAAGCGACTTGTGCGTCGTCGGCTAGATATTGAAGTTGTCTTAATAAACTCGGGTAAGCTTTCACTTTTACCAACTTCCGTGCTTAAAATGTGCAAGGTGATTCTTTCGATGGTTTTATACCACTAACCCAATATATACCGTTAGTAAGGCACGCACTGAGAAGTGTGATAAAGTTTCGACTACCTCTCCAAGGTAATGGATGATTTATACTAAGATTTAAACATTATGGCACTTCAAGGTCACGAACTGGAAAGGGAGGGGCACATTGTAATCAAATCAGGAGCTCCAATACCAAAAATGTAGGTCGTAACGAAGCCCTCGTTTGGATAAGTGTCGCCCATGCATCCAGCTTGTGGCCTTGAAGTGCCACTGTCTTTAAATCGGAGTATAACATTCGGCCGTATCCGCCGATTAAACGAGACGTCAATAACTGAAGTACAAGACGAGTTCCCAAGTCTCTCAATCCATCGTTTACGCACGGACATCCCACGCCTATGGGACTTGATGTACTCCGGCCACCTAACCATATTACATTTCAATGCGCGGCTCCTCACTGTGTACGCAGAAAATGCCCCATGCACCTCTCTGCTCTCGCACACCGTCGCTGAGGTGTACTGAGTTTAAATCAGAATCCCTTTAAGGTCACGAGCTGAAAAGAGAGGGGCTCTATCATCCAATCGGGAGCTTCGTTTACGACCCGAATGATTGGTGTTGAAGCTCCCGCCTGAATGATAGAGTTCCCCTTCTCTTTTCAGCTCATGACCTTGCAGGGACACCGTTTTAATTGAAGTATACGTGGAGAGCTTCTGTATCCCATGTGCGTTAAATACCGGCCCGCACGTCTTGTGACCTGCGAACGACGAGCGGACAGACGCCGTTTACAGGAGGAACGACTGTTTCTGCAGCTACCCTCAGAGATATCTGGGTTGAATTCCACCCCCATTACCTGGTGGAGAATTCTAACAGCCGGCTGCTCGGACCGGTAGTTTCTTGTGGTTTCTCCTCTCAACAGAGGATTGCTGGAGATGTACCCTCACAATAGGATAAGGCCCCCTTCAGCCTTGTCTTCTCCACACTCATTATGCACACAAGCAAACAAACAAACACTTAACTGCACTGCACTACCACTCATATCGGGAGATCAGTCTGGAGTTTCGAGCTTGCCCCGGCTGGGGTGGTGCCCCATTGATGGAGATACTTCGAGGGGAAACTCCGCTAGCTGACGTATAGACAGACGTCTATCTTACATTCCAGCAGGCGTCGGAACCTCATCTGCAGTTGTTTTCATTTATTTATTTTAGCAGACTAGTAACTTTGCTTTAAAGGGTTTGTTACAAATACAAATGTCAATATTCAAAACGAAAAAAAAAGAAAAAATAGAAATAATTCTTGAAATAATAATAGATGACATTTCATTTAAAAAAATAGAAATATGGAAGTCCACAAATACCCCATTATTGTTTTAAAATACCTCCCAGGCTTAACATGCACTACACATTCAGGGCTAGAGTTGTCAGTAATTGACGGCCCCGGTATCATTATTTAACCCACCCTCTGTCGTGGTGACCATTTTCCTTGAGCTTACCGCTTCGTACCAAATGATGCTCGGGGCATTCACACATTTGCCAATTTGGACACTCTGAGAGTCGACCCCAAGCTCACCGTGTGCTATGACCACCAACGGACCTCTTTCAAAGAATTTGCTCTCTTTCACTCCGCCTAGACGTCCTATAAGCCATTTTCTGGGACCATGGTACAGAAAAATGGATTAACAGCAAAATGTCAATCCGAGGTTTACGCTAGATTCTAAACCGTTCATACGGTTTTGTCCAAAATTGTTATTCTCTGATCAATCTGAACAAACTGGAGGCTCTACAAGTTCTCTCATAGCGTGTAAATTTTGGATTGGAATAGCGTAAAGACCTCTTAGAATGACGGCGCATGTCTCACATTAGTGGAAATACCTGAACCTTCGATTTTTTTAAAATAAGGGGTAAAAAGTGAAAAAAAGTAGTTCTGGTTTGATTTTCGGCCAACACTCTGTATTTTCGAAAATTAAAAAAAAATTGACATTGCACAAATACAATATTGAAGATAATTTTTCAACATTCGTTGGTGGAATCTCAGATAGATCGCAATGATTTAAATGAAGGAGATTATTACGATTATTACAAACAATGAGTTTCGAGTGTACATAAGAGAATAGTATCGACAAGATAAATGCGCCTCATTCAAGGTCATTCGGTGCAGAACACAACATAATATACAATCATAGTTTTATTACAATACAGGAATTTTACTAATAGGTGAGGTGTGTAAGTAAAAATATCGAACATTGAGAATTGTGAGAACGCTGATGAGGTGTTGTTGACGTAATTAAATGATGAAATAATCTTTGTCGACTTATGGAGCTGAATAAATCCATTAAGGAAACAAGTAACTCCAATTATTTCAGCATTGTTTGAGAATTTCGGAACCCCAATTTTCCGATTTCACCAAAAGTCGGCGAAGATGCCTCCACCTTGTCTTCCTTCAGTCATCACCCGCCCCCTACATTTGCGCCTACTTCCTCCTCCTGCGCTGCCACCACGGCCCTCCACGCGCGGTGCGTGGCTCGGGGCCGTCGATATCTGTGCCTCCAGAGCGGCTCGGGGGCGGCGGGGGCGGCGAGGAGAAGCTCCTGCGCTCAGCCCTGACATTTGGCCGACCGGCTCGACGCCCCCTGAGCACACGATACGCGCGATATGCACGATATGCTCCCGGCCTCCCCCTCCCTCACACCCTAGCTCCGCTCACGTGGCGGTCGCAAGCGCCAGCCGCGAGCTGCTATCGCGCGTGCGGCATTATCCACGCCGTCCTGCCACCGCGCGCTGCCGTATCCTCTGCAATCGTTACCTTGTCTGCCGCTGCACAGCAACCCACATATGGACGACGAGTGTGTCAGATGGTCGGCTTTCGCGAATAATTGGGCAATCAAAACTCTCGTTCTGGGAGTCAGTATCTGAATTTATCTCTATTCGAGGCACATTATTGTGCCGGATGACGAACCAGATGTTACTGCGTCATGCAGGTTTAAGGAGTTGTATCTCCGCGATATGGTTAATTGAAATTAATTTTAATTTTGTGGCATAGATATCAGAGCTAGTTGCATATTTGAGCTACTAGAAATTGGGAGGAAGTTTTCACAATTCTTCTTCTTCTTCTTCTTCTTCTTCTTCTTCTTCTTCTTCTTCTTATTTATTATTATTATTATTATTATTATTATTATTATTATTATTATTATTATTATTATTATTTTTATTAATTATTATTATTATTTTTATTAATTATTATTATTATTTTTATTAATTATTATTATTATTTTTATTTATTATTATTATTATTTTTATTATTTATTATTATTATTATTTTTATTATTTATTATTTATTATTATTACAGGTTTACTATGCATTAACACATTATTCTGTTTGCATATTTTTCGAAAATTACAAAAAGTTAACATTTCAAAACTACAAAATTGAGTATCGTGATGTTTGTCTTAGACAAAGTCTGTTGTAAACCATCGGCTCTTTAAAAGAGGTCCTATATTATTTTGTGGAAAAAATACTAATTTCGCCTCATTTGTGCCTAAAATTCATAGATTTCAAATATTGTTTTAAACAACGCTCAAAATGTTTTCTTTAAATTTTTCCACAGTTAGAAGAAGAGACGCTTAAAAGAATGGTCCGGGTATAATTTTCGTTGAACTCTTTGGATTTTTGAAAATTGAAAATTTAGAAATAATGCGAGAAAATATGGTTTTTGTCGTAATCTATATGCGTTGCTAACATTTATCCTTAGTCTTAATAATTCCCCAACCTACTGAACTTCTTGTGATACCAATACGTCTGAATTTGTCCACATATATTATCTCTATATTTATTTTTTACTAAACTCACTCTCCTCTTTACTAGAGCTTAAGCCTTACTATGTTCTATTTTATCTTGAATATTCTATTTACCCACTTCTTATATTTCATACTTTTAACTTCTATATCCTTTTTCATTTCTTCATTCATAAAATATTTGAATTCTGGAGACTTCTTTCCTAAAGCATCCGTTGCAGCTAAATGTGTATTATGAACAATGTACTGATATAATTGTTCTGTAATTATAAAGTCTGTTTTAAATAATTTCTTGTCCAGCTTTTTTCTATAAGAAAACGAATTACTCTCGTCGTTTAATAATTCAACATATTGTCAACATGCTAAATTTGATCCTACATTTGTAGACCTCTTCATGCATAAAATGAATGAAAATTCTTGCATTTACTGAATAATGTACACAAAACGTAACTGGAAAAAACACAGAAAAGAAAGTCAATCAGACAAAAAAAATTACTACAACTAAAACCTATTGTCATTAGGTATTCCTCCCTACTGTGTAATACAGTCGTATACAAAACCATCTAAGACCCCTCCTTTTATACGCGTGCCCCATCTAGATGAATGCCGCAAAAACTAACATTAACAAAATACAAATCTTCCAAAACCAGTTCCTGAGGATAAACCCAACGCCCTCGGTTTGCTACCAACGACCAACTTCACAAAGAATTATCCATCGAACTCATAGCCAATCATATCAACTATCTCGCCTCCAACTTCTATTTCTCCATACCACAAAATCCTACATTAAATACACTCAACCTCGGCCGAATTCTTACACAACCGACCAGAAACAAATCCTTTCCATGTATTCCTTCAAAAAATCAGGGAAATTGACCATTAACATAGGTGCCTAATTGACTTCCTCGCCCATGTAAATATATTAAGCTTAGTTTGTAAGTTAGTAATAAGCAAGCAAAACCATGTGAATAGTATAACATTTTACTTTCCAAGCAATAATCAACAAAAAAATAAATTATATACAAAATTCTGCTTTTCAATGCTTGATATATTTTTGAAAAAAAAATACCAATGATACTTATCGTTTTGCACTTTTATCTTTGAGTACTTCACTATAGAGATGTAGGTAATTTTCCTAATATTTCACACAGTTTCATTACAGTTTTTCTTGGTTACCTTTGTAACTATAATATCTCTTTTCAATGTTTCCAATTCATATAAAATATCAATATTTTACTAATTCCTTTCACATCCCACAATAGTGCGCTTCCTTGTGCGATGACAGCGTCTATTGATACCTTTATTTTGTATAAAACTATTTTAATGATCTTTTAACCTGAAACATTTTGACGATGGCCAGGGCGCAAATGTGATGTATTAACTTCTTTCTTGGAGGACCAGGGACTTCAGATAATACAAAAGAAGGAAAAATCATATCTTCAATTATAATCACGTGTAATGCTCATAATTTACTAAAATTAAATATATTGAGAGCGAAAATAAAATTGTTGTCAGGGAATACATATATAAAAAATATACGAACATAATTTGATTTCAATATCTCTCAACGAGGAAAAACAGTGATAATTTGCATTAATGTTTCTATTTGTTCACTTCCTGGCATTCTGTGAGTACGTACCTAGTATATATTTTTGCATGTGAATGTACCCTCCATAAGTATTCCTTCACTGAGGAAGAAGACCAAGAATAGGAAATCTTGATTTTACAATATTCATTTTTAAATACGTGATTTTTAGAGATTTTTTAATGCCCATAGTGTTGTATTTTTTCTCGTCAATACAGCATTGATTTATGGAATGTCTTGATGTTAATCTTTGCCAAGCCCGTGAAACTATCTTGTATCGTATTTTCTCATATACTGTCAGAGGAACATGTATCATTCGTTCAATAGACATAAGCAGTATTCCAAGGTTCGAATCAGTGTAAAAGATTTCGAAATTATTGGAGTTCGTAAATTAAAGATATTTTTCTTGTTCCTATTGTTTCGATTAGCTACCACAGAATCTTGATCGTAATTGTGTTCAAATACAAGAACGTAATACACAAGAATGCATGTAAATCGGCTCTATAACAGTTATTTTTATACAAGGGTAAAATTGCACTATGTATGTGCTGAACCACCTAAGGAAGTGGGAAAATAATACTTCCCTTACATCACTTCCTCTACCACCTGTAACGACGAAAAACAATGGAAAAAAAATCTAATGACTATACTTCGGAGTGCTGTGAACGTCACAGTAACGACGTCACTATAGTAACGTTCAAGCTTCCAATTGGATGACCGCGTCCCAGCTGACAAGTGCGAATGGACTTAAAGATTTAATCGAAGTATACCAGGAAAGTATTTTCTTCAGTTAACTAGCACATATTGGAAACTGAACACCCCTACCTCTACTTTTCGTGAGCTGCTAGAATAAACATCTAGAAGTTCTCCTTTTCAGGTCCTTTGTTGCGAATTACGTCACCCTTCTAGAAACCAAATTTCCTGGACCCTCCAACGAATGCGTCAGGGAGAGTTTAGGATATCTGATCAATTCCCCGAAAGAGGAATTCTCATCCCGAGCCTCGGTTCTCCACGCGCCGAGGCGCCAGCGGCGTTCGATCTCGCGTGGGTGGACTTGGATGATGTTCGCGTGTCCACCGCCTGTTAGCCCGCTCGCTTCCCGAATCTGCTGCCGCCTCCGCGGAATGGTCCCACCTAGAGGTAACCCTCCGGTAAACCTTCTTCAAAGAGTTTCGATGGGAAGATTCCGCAGTCCGTAACGACTTCGTCCGTTCATCGAAGAAAGACGTGGAACGATTCATGTGACGTGTTCGCTGCTCGGAAACGAAATACTTGGAAATGGAATTGACGTGGAAGTCAAAGAGAAATACGTCGGTAAAACGTTTTCAAAACTTGAGAATAGAAGCGTATTTGAAACAGGTACAGTCTTCTCTTAACAGAATTTACTGTCATTTGAGAAATACGAAATATATTTTGTGCTTCCTTGAAAGTACTTTCAGGATCAATTTCTTTCTTTCAGAACGCAAGTTATTAATATCTTTCCCGATGAACTTAATAAAATGATCCCTGTCCATACTGCATTAATTCTCATTTTGAACGTACTATTTTTCATTTATTGAATTCCAAACATTTCAATATTTGTTTCATTATCAATATTAACAAAAAGGATTGATCATACACAGAAGTGGAAGAAACATTTTAGACGAAAGATTTCGAATATCAGAAGGAATTAATTCGAAAACATCGTGTGCTGAAACGAATTAAACACGTTCGACTTCGATGTTTCATAAAGGTAATGGATTCCACGAGGTCAATTATAATTTGAACTCATTAGTTCCGAAAGCCACTCATTTCCGCGATACTGCTCTCTAGAACTCGTAAACATGTCGTGATTAGTGAATGTAGGCTATTTAGTTACGAGAACTGCTTCAAGCCGCTAGGTTTCAGTTTATACTACCATACACTTTTACAACCAGCCCGGTGAAAATATTCTTTCTCCTTTAAAAACGTCTCGATATATTATATTAAAATTTTTAATTTTAAGTGATTTATGATGGCTGTTAAATACGTTATCAGAAACTTACATCATCTATCCCGCAAAAGTTCTATAAAATATTGGTCAAAAATATTATTTGAATTTGAAGAAATAATTATTGCCGAAGATTTTCTCCTGCAGTCTAAATATTTGCAACTCTTGAGTGGATCTTCACTTCTAATCTTGTCCTTCAAAGAGCACCCCTTCACTGCCAGAAGAGAGATCTTATTTCTATTAATGTGACTTGGCGATTAGACTGTTAGAGAGTGAAATCAATAATATATTGTTACATACCCTATCATGTATAAAAAGAAAAATAATACGGCAACGTTAAGCGTCTCAAATTTTCCTGTTTATATATTTCAACATTTGGCCAAATAGACATCATGATTAAATTTAGCACTATTGCTTCAAACCGATATAGCTATACCACAAAAATATGATTCAGGAATATTTTGTTGTTTTACAAAAACATCATAATGTGAAGGTAC